ATCCAAGTAAGAGCTTGTCCTTCGAGCTTGGCAAAAAGATGACCAAAAAAAAGTAGCTCATTTTAACCAAAGCATAGGGATGGCAAAAAAACCTGAACTCGATGGGGAAAACCGAAAACCAAATTAAATGGGTCGGGTTCGGTGATGATAAACGGGGACGGGTTTGGTAATCCCCGCCCCGATTACCCGATTACCCGGCCTCATACCCGGCTCGATAAATATTAAAAATAAATATTATATATATATAATATTAATAAATTTAATTTAAATTAAAATATATATATAATATTTATATATTTAATTAAAATATATATATACCTGGCCCGATACCCGGCCCGATACCCGTTTAAATAATTGTTTATGCTAAACGGGGATACCCGTTTCCCCGCGATTTCCCCCGATTACTCTATGGGGATCTCCGTTTAAATTCCCGCGGTTTTTTAAGCGGGGATGGGTACGGGTTTTTTAAACGGGGACGAGGAACTCGGCCCGTTGCCATCCCTACCGAAGCAGTTATAGGTAAATGACACCCTCCTTTAAGGTTGAATTGATATCCTCAGGCAAGTTGGTTATCATATGACCATATCAATAACCATCATCGTATGCATTTATCAACATTTCTTTGTTGATGATTCTGATGTAATTGTATCCTTGCTCATTTTTTCCTTACAACTCTTGAAGCATAAACTCAAACCTTTGAGGTTAAAGTTCATAACCTAAGCCATATGTACTAGTTAGTGTGAACTAGAAATAAATAAAATAAAAATGATTGTGAAATGAAATTGAAAAAAATAACATACCCGTGCGTATAAGTAATTGGAATTTATCATTCTTCTTATATTTTTTGTGGTAGTTTACAACAATATGTCGGATACAACAACAATATTTTAATCCTCTTAATCAGTAGACTCGTCAGAAGTAATATTCAGTTCTTCAATTCTCCATGTTTTTTCTTGTTGTCGTTCACATACAAATTAGAACAATGCTTCTGGGTCTCCATCATCTACCTCTGTTTCTTCATCATTTTTCTTAGTTGGTGGAATACTCGAACTAGAAACAACATCCTCAACCATAAGATCAAGGTCGAGATAAGCAAACTCTACAAATAAATCAACATTAGATATAGAATGATAGTAGTATGTCTCAATCATAAAAGCAAGATCGACATAATCACATAGATGAAACCTCGAGCATGATAGTGGTAATTTATAATATAATAAAGATATTCTTCTATTGCTTATGAGTTAAACCTTTATTTCTATTTTCAACTTCAACTTGTCAAGTTGAATGTTGTTTATAAGATATGCTTAAAGATTTGCAATCATAATAAACAGTCGTAAGAATAATTGTCATGTTAGCGAAAATCTCAAACTTTAAAAGTGAAAGATTCAATTTTTTTATGTTTCTTTGCTTCAACTGAGTAAAATAAGATTCACGTCACACATATTATAGACCCTTAGGAAGCACTTCCTATAGGATGAGCCTTCATTGAATTTTGGGTTATGTTTTTCATTAACAATTAATAGGAATTAGAAACATAATATAAAAAAACTTAAAATAAAAATATAACACAAAAAAAAGGTTTATGAGTACATAACATTAAATGAAAAATTATAAAAAAATAAAAAACATAATTCAAGTAAGTTTATAAAAAAACCACATAACATTAAATAAAAACATTATAATTAAATTCTAACGATATCTCTTTCTTGAATGTGTTCCACATGGCGGTGATTGTCTATTTCGATGAGGGTTTCTTCTTTTAGGTTGGTATTCCTCTTCACTCTCTTCATCTTCATCATCATCATCATCGACACCAGGAACACTTTCTTGATTAGGCATGGATGAAGCTGAATGACCTATATAAAATAGCAAGCCTCGAGGCGTATCGTTAACTATCACACAACTCAATGAGAATTGCAAAGATTATGAAAAAACTGACATTGATGTCTACGATCCATATTAAGGTTGAGGTGTTTATGGTGGAGCACCACTTGCCAAATAAGTAGCATATGAAGGAAATGTTGGATCAATAGACATAGGCGTATAATATCTTCCAAAGGGTGTCATAAAACCTTGCAGACTCAGTATGTAACCCTGTGGGCTAGAAATATAACCCGGTGCCAGTGGTATCTGAAGGTGTTGCGGTGGCATCTGAATAGACGGTGTAGCCCATGTAAACTGTCGGGCTTAGGATGTAACCCAGTGGCGATGGTGGATGTTGTGATGGTTCCAGTGCTGTAGTTGAGGATGAGCAAGAAGTTCCTACTCTTTGTCCACGAGTCGGAGGATGATGATATTGTGAAGGTGGACATTTTCTCGACGACAATGAATTTTCCTACCTCGTGCTTCCGTAGAAAGTATGAACGGCTTCTCGTTCATGTTGAACGACTGAATATAGTCTTTCGTAATTGAAAAACCATTTTCGTGCATATATTACCGAGGGGGCATTCGTTGATACTGATCCTCCAACATTATTATACAGTCTCTGTGTTTCACCACCCAATTAACATCTTTTTTGCCTTGTCTATCAATGTTATGCATATTGTTGAGATTCATAGGTGTTCCAGGAATATATTGTGTGAAACCAAATTGACAAAGCACACGGTCAATCGAATGCCACTTAACAATAGTATAACATATAAGAGGCACAACCGCCACCCATACATCTAATATCCCACTCAAGTGAGGTGTTATGCAAGCCCTTATTTCATCGAACAAATAAGGAGCACATTCGAACTAAAACAAAATATATATTTCTTATCAAAATAATATTATAATTATATGACGATAATTAAATAAAATATTAAAATTTAAAAACGTACCTTTAAACCAATTTTTTATCAATGAGTAATCGGATATCTTCTAATTCATCAGGGACATCACAATGATTTTTTTATGTTAATAATCACCTATTTAATATAAAAATATATTTCATCATATACTCAAAAAATTATTTATAAACGGACTCAATATTAAAATTACCTTAATAATAATGAGAAGACAAATGGCTCATTCACGACCAGACATAAAAAGGACATGCGATACCAAGCTCATGATCGGAGAAGAAGAAGCAACCGCCAATAACAATTTTACTATAATTCGTTGCCCAACACATTTTTCTAAACAGAAATGCCAAAACTGCAAAGCCCCAACTCAATCTGCTGACTACTTCAAAATTAGTGAGGTGACTACTTCAAAATATATTTCATCATATACTCAAAAAATTATTTATAAACGGACTCAATATTAAAATTACCTTAATAATAATGAGAAGACAAATGGCTCATTCACGACCAGACATAAAAAGGACATGTGATACCAAGCTCATGATTGGAGAAGAAGAAACAACCGCCAATAACAATTTTACTATAATTCGTTGCCCAACACATTTTTCTAAACAGAAATGCCAAAACTGCAAAGCCCCAACTCAATCTGCTGACTACTTCAAAATTAGTGAGGTGACGCAACCACATACAATGAACTTGGTTGTGAGATTTATCGGGCATCAAGATCCCTCCTATAATTCATAATATGTATGCCCAGGCAAATGATTTTGCCTCTTCATCGGAACAATTGTCATTCAAATCTTGAAAATTGGATTTCAACCATGCTAACTATATTCGGCAATCGTTGAACTCAGTCGGGGAAGCTCCAAGATACTTCGAGCACAACGTATGCCAATCACCATTTGCACACAACAAATAACAGTTCCATTTACCAAAAGCCTTAAATTCATTGAAACATCCTCCAGGATAATAATGCACTCTCCACATGGAAGATGAAATATATATGTATATAATCTCCACCTCTCAATTAGTGTAGAAATAAGTGTGAGTTCAAGTTTACAACACCCCACAATTTTAGCTATGTAACCAAATCCAGCCTCAGATAAATACCTCTAGATACGACGCGGTATGTTCATCTTAGTGTTACGAATAAACAATTCTAATAAACAACCATTTCCCTAATTAATAAATATTCTACGAATTAAAATTTTAAATAATACTAAAAAATTAAATTAATAAAATATTCAAAAAAAATTAAAATAATACAATTTAATATTGTTACCGTATCTATAAAATGACTTGAGATATGATTTGCATCTAATCACATCATCTCACCTTTCATTTTATAACCATAAGAAATAAATATAATAAAAATGTAAATTAAAATTTTTACCTTCTAAATATTTTTACAAACTTTACTTAAAGGAAAATCTAATAAGAAAAATGAGAGAAAAATGTTTTTTGATGTGATTTGTTTGAAGGTGAAGAAGGACTTATATAAGGGAGGGGAGGGGTTTAAGCGGGAATAATGGGCAGGAGCAACTGGCGGGGCGGAAGGCGCCCCTTGTAACGTGCCTTTCAATGTGGCGTGAAAATCCCGTAAAAGTGTGTTCCTAAAATGTACATTCTCATGTGACGCCAACTAAATTGAAAAGCACACTCAATGCAACGTATGTTTCACATAACGTACCTCTCCTATTTTATCGGAAAGAGTATTAGTTTGATACATATTTGATAAAGGATTCTAAATTTATATTTTTAATATTTTCAGTGATTTTAACGTAAAATTACCGAATAAGTAGAAGAAAACAAAAGATGATTCTCTTACCATTGAGTTGATTTGATATGATTAGAATTTATACGATAAATTAAATATAAAATATGTCCACTATTAATTAAATAAGAAAAAGTAGAATGATCCCATAAAAAATAGACAATTTTTAAAGAAACCCATCTAGAACATAAAGTTGTGAGGTATATACAATGACAAATAATAGAATATACTATGATGATATAAATAAGATCCAATTATTTAAAAGGAAAAAACATACATGTGGAGGTGTTGGTGGCCAAATTGGTGGAGATGAAAGCTTTAAAAAAGGTATATATAATGCACATTACTTAAAAAACAAACCCATCAATTATTTATGAAGATCAAGGTACCCATGTCTTTTGATTTCTTGGTCTCTCCCTCTTTCTATCATTATGTAATCATTTATATTTTCTACGAATTTCATAGGGCTTGTTAGTTGTGATCTAAAGATATCTCTGGCATTCCCTTGGAAATCAATAAGCTCAAATTTGTGTCTCTCTTTCATGGGCATTTCTTTGATTCCTTGAATCATTTCAGAAGAGTTTCCAAAATCAATTTTTTTGTGGGTAAGCCCCTCTTTTTCTTTTAATTGTATTCATATTTATGTATTTTCTATTTGGGTTCATGCGTTTATATCTTCAAGTCCAGTTGAATATCCCTTTCTCGTCTGGGTTTTACTGGTTTATGTGTATGATACAGCAAGGTTTTATCTTTGTATTCAATGATTAATATGTTGTGGATCTGCTTTGCCTGTTTTACATATTTTTTGCTTTCCTTTATTGTTAGAGTTTAAACGAGTTAAATGTGATTTTAACAAATTTGTATATGTTTGACATGTAAATATGGTTCTTTTGTTTTATTTTAATTTTTATTTTGCATTCAACAAATGTATTTATGACAATCAAACAGGGCCGGATTTTTAATAGTTGGAATCAGAAAAATGTATTTGATGATATATACAGAGATTGAAAAATGAAAATCATAACACAGTTCGATTATCTATGTTAGATTGTCCCTGGTAGAAGCTATTTGAATCATGGGAAATTTGACTTTATAAACTTCATTATTTCAATTTAATTAGATGTTAGGAAAACACAACTGTTTTGGCTGGTTAGAGCCTTTCTGCTATTCGTGCCTGTAATTGTCAAGGGAAACATCGTTGTTTTTCGAATGTTGGAAAAGTGTGTATCATCAGAACAGAATAGAATTTTAGTATGCAGTGTCTGTGACTGTCGAAAATTTGTGAGTTTTTTTTTTGTTTCATCATGAAGGTTCAGGGGATGGAAGAGATGCATAAAACTGACAATCATATGACATCAGCTGCTGCCTTTGTGGAAGGGGGAATCCAGGATGCCTGTAATGATGCTTGCAGCATATGCCTCGAGGAGTTTTCTGGAAACGATCCTTCAACAGTAAGGCCTAGGACAACAAATTCATTTTTCTATTAACCCCTTCTGTTTGGTGATATGGATTTCATGCACTATTTCCCTTGACTAGCATTGTGTAGAAGTATCTCAATACAAATTCTTTTCTACCTTTACTTGTAGGTGACTAATTGCAAGCATGGGTTTCACCTCCAATGCATTCTTGAATGGTATGTTTCGTGTAAATCTCAAAATGATTATATTTCCATTCTAGTGGAATTAATTGTTTGTGTAGAACTCCTTACTGTTGCCAATGTTTTTTGCCCCTTTTTTAGATTCAGTATGTGTTTTTTATACCACAATTTGGTTCTCCCCTGTACATTGACTGTCAGTGAAGTGTTTAAGACATTGATCAAATAGTTCAATGAGAGAGAGGTGATTGGAAGTGTACAAAGGGTAAGGTGTCATATGTGACCAGAAAAGAAATAAAAGAGCAACCTCTAGAAAGGCTAAACATGGCCAAATTAGTGCTTTGTACACGAGACATTAAACATCCGGCTTTTATGTCACGGGTCTGTATCTACTTGGAAAGATACGTATTTGACCTAATTATATGGTATGTTTACATGATTGGATCATGCATTTGATTATGTCTCAACTATATGATGCATCTGATTTTGACAGTTCTATATGATGTATTTCATTAGTTCCATGTTTTTATCCTTTGATAACAGCAATGATGGTTAAATTTATCTAGTTATGTTCTGATAGTTAATAACTTACAATCTCATAACCCTTGTATTTATATTTTTTCCCCTTTCCTTAGTTTACGTTGTAATTGCTGAAGATAACATTCTCGTTTCGTAAAAATAAGTGCCTCAATTCACATTAAACTCTCTTGCTTGTGCCTGCAACAAATTTTCTTATTTGATTGGTGACATTATTTTAATATTTAAGTTGTCTTGAATTTTGGAAGCATACATTATTGAAAGGAAGAAATCACAGAATAAAGCTCAAGCTTAACACAAGTTCCTTTTTCCCCAATAAATTTAGGTGCCAGAGAAGTTCGCAATGCCCCATGTGCTGGCAAGCCATTAGCTTGAAGGACCCTGCAAGGTTTTCTTATTTATCCACACATTTGCACTTTGAATATATTCACATCTTAACACCTGTGGAGTTAGCTAATAATGTGTCAACCGTTACAGTCAAGAATTGCTTCAAGCAGTCGAAAGGGAAAGAAGCTTTAGGGATACCCCATCAAGAAATACCACAATATTTCACCATCCCACCCTTGGTGATTTTGAATTGCAACATGTATGCTGCCTACAAGTCCTTGTCTGAAACTTTTGTTTACTTCTATTCTGCAATAAACTTTTTACGCCATTCATTCATCCAATAGAATATATACAATTTTCAATTTGTTTTGCAGTTACCAGTTGGTATGAATGATCCTGAACTTGAAGAGCATATAATACAGCACTTGGCTGCCGCCACTGCTATGGGAAGGGCCCACCACGCTGGTCGGAGGGAGGGACATAGAAGATCATCACCTCATAGTCGTCCACACTTCTTGGTGTTCTCCACTCATCCTGGTGCAGAGGATTCTGGTTCTGGATCGTTGCCACTTACACAGGTAGCAGGGGAAACCAGTACAGCTGCAGTCACTGTTGCTAATCCATCTACTCCACTATTGTCCGGAGGAGATGAGTTATCCCAACGGATATCACCATTTCCTTCTAGTCAAAATACATCTGCATCTGGATCCACTGTCAATCCAGTAAACAGACGAGGATTTTCCTTTAATAATCGGTATTTCATTATCTTTTTTCATGCTTTTAAATACTCAATGTATGATCTATCTAGTATTTTTATTTTCTTTGCAGCAGCACTTCCTATTAATTTTCTAATCATGTATGTATTATCTTGTTGATTATTTGTCTTTCTCCATAGATGCACTTGCAGTAATTCCTCATTGACAAATCAGGAGAGAACCAGACCATCAGAGTTGCAATCATTTTCAGAGTCTTTAAAATCCAGAATTAATTCAGTGTCCTTGAGGTATAACGCGAACTTAATACATATTTTTCCTCTTATGTTACTAATTTGACGTTAAAACATGTGGAATTAAAGGTACAAGGAATCAATCTCAAAGAGTACTAGAGGTTTGAAGGAGAGGTGGTTCTCACGCAACCCTTCTATGCCTGATGGCGAGAATGAAGCTCGGAGAGAAGCGAGTGCAGGAATTGCTAGTGTGTCTCGAATGATGGAACATCCTGAGACTGATGAAAATAGCAGACAAAAACAACATTCTATGTTACATCATTTTGGCAGATCCTCCGATACAGAGCTAAGAAACCGAGATAACCCTTTAAGTATTAGCTCTTCACCTTCACCTGCTTCGCATGCTGGAAGTTTCCTTTCTAATTAAGTTATGAGAAGTTATTTTGGCAAATGGGATCTACCCCAGAATTTCGTCTTTGTAGGTGAGTCAGCTCAGCATGTTTGGTTTGAATTCATCTTTCGCCTTTATATAAGCACTAGAACTCAGCAATAGAGAACAATGACTTTCCATCCTCCTTTATTCTTACTGTCCAGTTTTAGCGAGTACAGAGCCATAGACCACACATGGTGAAATCTGCTGCATCGACCTAACCTGTAGCATCTTATTCCATCACATAACAATCAATCTCTGAAAGATTTACTCTGCTCTACTTTAGCTTTAATCTTTCTAAACAAGCTTTTTTCTATGTTCTCAGGTTGTCCATCTCGTTTCTCCAAAAATGGCATGCTGCCTTTGCATTTCAGGCCAGCTGATTTGGCATATACGGATGGATAAATTCATGGTGGTTAAATAAGCCCACAAGAAGTCTGAGAAAGAGCTTTCATTTGGTCACAAACCTATATATATATATATATATTATACAAAGATAATGTATGGGGTTTGCTTCTAGGGACTGTATTTGCTACATTTGTGTTGATTCACTATGGTTCCAAAACCTTTTATATTTTCTTGTTAAAGTCATGCATGGTCCTCATACGGATTATAAGCAGGATCTTATATGGGATACTATCAAATTGAAAAATCTCTTTCATTTAACAACTAAAAGCAAGTGTTTGATAATATATTGGTTTTATGAATTACAGGCAAAATGAGAGGATATGAAATCAAAATGACAAATATAGAAAAACCCTACATAAACGATGATTTCAGTAACTGTCGAACTATAATTCGTGGTTTGTGAGAATATTGTTAAAATGCCAACCCAAGAATACTAGAAATACTCTTTATTTCTCTGCAGTATAAAATTATACAACCAATGTATTTATACAATAACTAGACATCTAACTAACTTGTAAACTAACCAAAACCAACTAACTAATTCTCTAACTGTACAAACAGAAATAATCTCATACAACCGTTCTCTACACTCCCCCTCAAGTTGAGGGATTAAAACATTTTTCATCCCCAACTTGCCCACCAAATAGTTGTGTTGTTGTATTACAAGTGCTTTAGTTAAAATATTAGCAAGTTTTTCCGCAGATGATACATACTCAACTTTGATTATTCCTTCTTGTATCTTTTCTCTAACAAAATGGCAATCTATATCAATGTGGTTAGTCCGTTCATGAAATACTGGATTTCCAGAAATTTGTAAGGCTACTTTGCTATCACTGTACAACTTTGATGGCCTCAAAATATCAGATTGTAGTTCCTTCAAAATGCCATTTAACCATACTATTTCAGTTGCAACCATTGCCATACTTCGATATTCAGCTTCTGCTGATGATTTTGCCACTGTATTATGTTTCTTTGATTTCCAGGATATCAAAGAATCACCTAACTTTATGCAAAAACTAGTAACTGATTTTCGTGACATAGGGCATGAAGCCCAGTCTGAAGCACAATATGCTGACAACTGACTCTTTCCTGTTTTCTTCAACAAAATCCCATGTCCTGGTTCCTTCTTCAAATACCTGACAATTCTCAATGCAGCCTCTAAATGTGTTTTCTTCGGTTGTTGCATAAACTGACTGAGATGATGAACTGCAAATATAATATCTGGTCGAGTATGTGTTAAGTATATTAGTCTTCCAATTAACCTTTGAAAAGTTGACTTTTCTTCAACCAGTACTTCATCTTCCTTTTGCTGCAAATGTTCATCATATTTTGTGGAGGTAAGTTTCAAATTTTGCTCTAAAGGAGTCAAGGTTGTTTAACTCCTTTAAGACCAGTCTCCTTTAGCAATTATAAAGCATATTTCCTTTGATTCAACACAATTCCTTCTTTTGACCTTAAGACCTCAAGTCCTAAGAAATATTTCAATTCTCCTAAATCTTTCATCTTAAAACTGTAATTTAGCATGTCTTTCAACTCATTGATCAAGGCTAAATCATTTCCAGTTAATAGGAGATCATCTACATTAATGAGTATTACCACCGATCTTTCACCCTCTTTTTTTGTGAACATCGAGTAATCAAACTTACTCTGCTGATATCCTGCTGCTACCAATGCTTCAGTAAGCTTCGAATTCCACTGTCATGAAGCTTGCTTCAAACCATAGAGAGATTTTTGCAGCCGACAGACCATATTCTTCCCCTGGTTGCTAAAACCTTCAGGCAGCTTCATGTATATTTCCTCAATGATATCACATTGAAGAAAAGTGTTATGCACGTCCATTTGAAAAAGAGGCCAGTCACTCATAGCAGCAAGAGCAAGAACAGTCTTAACAGTGACTAATTTTGCTACAGGAGGGAATGTTTCAACAAAATCAATACCCTCCTTTTGATTGTAACCTTTAGCCACAAGACGTGTTTTAAAACGCTCAACTGTACCATCAACTCTATATTTGACACGAAAAACCTATTTACAACCAATGTGAGTCGCTTCTTGAGGAAAAGGCACTACATACCAAGTACCATTGAATTCTAAGGCTTGAATTTCCTCTTGCATGGCCTTAATCTAACCCAGGTTAGAAATAACTTTAGAATAGGACTGTTGTTCAGTAATGGATGAAGTGGTAGCAAGAAAATGTTGTGTATGAACGGATAAATGATCATAAGAAACATTATGAATAAGAGGGTACTTACAAGTGGAAAAACAATAAGAAGACTGATTGGAACACACATAATCTTGTAGCCATGTAGGAGGTCTAGATGCTCGAGAAGACTTACGCAATGGATGAGCAGAAGGTTCTGATGATTCGGGTAAAACTGGTGAAGATGGATCATCAGGAGATATAGACGGTTGAGATACAACCAAGAATTCATCATCATCCTTATAAGTTTGAGCAGGAAAAAAGGAATAGACTGTTGAGGAAAACTGAAAGGAAAAACAGATTCATGGAAAACAACATCACGATTGACAAAAAAGACTTTTTTTTCAAGATCAAATAAAAGGTAGCCTTTTTGAGTAGAGGAATAACCAAGAAATACAGAAGGAATGGCTCGTGAAGCGAACTCATCAGTTAAATGTGTCTGAGTGGCATAGGTAAGACATCCAAACACACAAATGTGAGATAAGGAAGGGAGTTTTTTATACAGCAATTCAAAATGAGTTAGCCAAGATAAAACAGAGGAGTGTAATCTATTTATCAGATAACATGCAACAATAACACATTCACCCTAAAATTTCAAAGGAACTTTAGAATGAAACCGTAGAGCACGAGTAACCTCAAGTAAATGCCTATGCTTACGCTCAGCTACCCCATTTTGCTGAGGAGTACAAACATAACTCGATTGATGAATTATGCCTAGAGAAGAAAAAAAAGGGAACAAACCGAATTGAAGAATTCAGACCCATTGTCACTACAAATTATTTTAACAGAAGTAGAGAATTTATTGTTAATCATCAGGAACAAAGCTTTTAAATGAATAACAATGTCACTTTTAAGTCGTAATAAAAACACCCAAGTCATACGACTAAAATCATCGACAATCGTAAGAAAATAACGATGTCCACTATGAGTAGAAATTCCGTAGGGACCCCAAAGATCAATATGAAGTAATTGAAAGGATGTTCGGTTCTAGAGGTACTTAAAGGAAATGGAAAACATGTTTATCTATCCATAGGACATACTGAACAATGTTACACATTATTAGGATTAAACTTAACAGACTGAAGAACAGACAACTTGTGGATTTTATTAATGACAGCATGCCAAAGTTCAGTAACAATAGGAGAATGATGATTTATAGACTTCCAAACAGAAGAATTTGAAAATGAAGAAACATGAATAGAAGATGAAGTCAAATCGAGGATGCAAAAGAAGACTCGAGCAAGTAAAGACCTCCACGTTCCTTACCAATCCCCTTGATCTTTCCACTGGAGATGTCCTGCAGGATACAGAATGCAGGATAAAACGAAACAACACATTGAAGCTCATTGGTTAGTTTAGTGATAGATAAAAGGTTACTTTTAAAGTCAGGGACAAATAAAACATTATGAATGATGTGGTCTTTGCTAAGGATGTAGGAGCCAGTATGAGTAATGAGGGTTTTTTTACCATTAGGAAGATGAACAAATCTATTTTAACCGAGGACTCAGAAGCTGGAGCTTGATGCAACAAACTCAATATCTAGTTGTACTGTTCTTGAGTAAACACGGGAGCAGTAGACATATGAGGAGCAGAAGGAGGAACATGATATTCAAGTTTACCAGTAAAAGCAGCTGAATCATCTTTCTTCCTATCAAATTTGAAATTAGCAGGAAAACCTATAAATCTGTAACACTGGTCCTTTTTGTGACCTTTAATTTTACAAGGGTCACAAGTTCCATTGAATCGGCGTTGACCCATATTGCCAGGAGATGTAGAAGAATTAGAATAAAAACGGTAGAATCATGGGTCGAAGATATAACAGTAGAATGAGACCGCTAAGACTCTTCTTGAACCAGCATCGAGTAAGCCTGATTGACATTTGGTAACGGCTGCATCAGGAGGATTTGGGTACGCATAGCAGAATATGATTCATTCAAACCCATTATGAATTGGAATAAGCGTTGTTGAAGAGCATTAGCATTATTTTGTTGTGCATTGTCGCAATCGCAGGAAGGAAGGGGTACCAAAGCACCATAGTCGTCCCATAAGAGCTTCAATTTTGTGAAATACGACGAAATGAAGAATCTCCTTGAACAAGGGTTACAATTTCTCGGTGTAGAAAATAAACCCGAGAACCATCAACCTTGTCAAACCTCTCTTTCAAATCGGACCATACAAGAGTAGCACTAGAGGAAAAAACAATACCAGCTGAGAGATCTTTACTAACCGAATTGATTAACCAGGAGAGAACGATCGCGTTGCAACGATCCCACTGCGATTGAAGCTGCTTCACAAAATCAGACCGACAATAAACTCTATCATTAAACCCTAATTTGTTCTTCACGAGAAGGGAAATACGCATTGACTCACTCCAGACTCTGTAATCATGAACTCTGGTGAGCTTGTGAGAAACAAGAACAACACTCGGCATATCAGACGGATGCAAATACAGGTGGTGTGTGAAATCAATCTCCAAAGAATCTTGTGGAGGCATCGCGAAGAGGAATCGAAGAAAGAACAAAAATGCAGGAACAAGAGAGTAACATTGGAATTGGGAAATTTGCACAGAAACGAGAAACGAAGATGGTCTAGTGTGAAAAAATCCCAATAACCCAAGAGCCTAGAAATAAACCGACTGATACCATGTTAAAATGCTAAACCAAGAATACTAGAAATACTCTTTATTTCTCTGCAGTATAAAATTATACAACCAATATATTTATACAATAACTAAGCATCTAACTAACTTGTAAACTAACCAAAACCAACTAACTAATTCTCTAACTATACAAACAGAAATAATCTCCTACAATTGTTCTCTATAAATCTCTAATAGGGTTGTTCCTTTAGACTCTTCTCGTAAAATAGAGAAGATTTGAGACATTCTCGTAGTTGTTCTTTTGGACTCTTCTCGTAAGATAGAGAAGATTTGTGACATTATTCTTATAAAGATGAAGACAAGCTATTGTAATTTTAAGCTGAGAGTATGAAAATCGAAGATATTGATTTT